TTTTTTGTACTGGGGATCGAACTCGGGTCCTTGGGCTTGTGAGGCAGGCAGCAGAACCACTGAGCTAAATCTCTGGCCACCTTACCTAAATTTTAAAGGACTCACTTGAGCTGGTATGTTGAATAAGTATGAAAAATGAAAGCAGAGAAAACAGTTATATTACATTGGTAATACAGGAAAGAAAAAAAAATTGATAGTGGCTTGGCCAAGAATAGTAATAGTGCAGATGAGAGTGAGTGGTTAGATTCAGGATAGATCTTGAAAGTAGGACTGGAAAAATTGATTTCAAGATATGAGCTGTAAGAGAAACTAAGGAGTAAAACTGATATTTTTGCTGTAAACAACTAACAGTATAGATTCTCCATGAACTAAAATAGGAGAGATTGAAGGAGTAGTAGCAGATATGGGGAATAATAGGGATTGAATAGTCTAGATTTCATCATGTTAAGTTTGGTATGCCTTTTAGACATGTAATTGGCGTTGACTAGGTAGTTCAGTATATGAATTGTAACTTAAGAGACTAAGCCCGGCTGAAGGTACAAATATGGTAGTCGTCAACATATTAGTTACATTTAAAGCCATGAGACTTAAGAAATCACCTGGACTCTGGGCATCCCAACATTTAAAGATGAGGTAGATGGGCTAGTACTCTTTCAGGAGAGACTTTGAAGAAGTACTTAGGAAGATAACCAAGGAAGAAAGGCAGCTTGGAAACCAGGTGAAGAAAATATTTTAAAAAGGAAGACTGCTCATGATGAAGTAAGGGAGATGAAGAATAATAATTCATTATTGAAAAGTGGAAAAAGTCTACTCAAGTGAATTAGAGGAAAGAAATTGAAAGATGCTCTTTTGTGGTGTTTTTGCTGTAAGTCTAGTAAAGAAATATAGCAATACCTAGAAGGGTAAGTTGTAGTTAAGAGAGGGTATTTGATTTTTGCTTTTCTTAATGTATTAAGGGGAGAAGTAACGTGTTTTGTTACTGATGGAATGATCTAGTAGAGAAACTCAAAAATGGACTCAGGTGAAAGAAGGGACATGTGATAATGATATTCTTGATAAGAGGGGATGCTATGTATAATTGGAGGTGTTGGTTTAGATAGGGAAATGAATGAGTATGGATTAGGATAAGAGTGAACATGTGAAATTTTCTTCTGATTACTCACATAATCCATGAAATAAACTGACTGAGAGTGAGAAAGGAAGAAAACTTTATACTGTCCCCCTATAGTATTTCTTCATTCCAATCTTACAAACTGAAAAGGGAAATTCATTTTACAGTTATCCTTGGGTCACTCATTCTACTGTCTCACAGCCCCATAAAATGCATAAACAATAATTTAAGACTTAAGTAAATAGAGAGTAATTACTAACTAATCCCTGGATTAAAATGATGGATTCATTTGTTTTACTCTGTATAATAATTACAGTAATCAATACTGTCACCTAGAATTTCTTCTTTAACTTCTTTAAATGAGCTTTTAAACTGTACTGTGATTTGTAGTTTGAAGACAGTCTCAAGTCCTTTGTCAGTGCAGCCAGAAAAAAATTACCTTTCATTTACTTGCTAGGTCTCACAGCTGCCTTTAGAAAGACAAACAAGTGGTATTTCAAACTTTGTTCAGTGATGTGTAGTTACAGTCTTTGAAATTTCCTACACTTACGCCCTAGATTTTGTCTTCTTGAGCAGTTATTCATTGGCAAGACCAGACTAAGCATTTTAGACACATTTAGGATTAAAGCATAGTTTTTGCTGGGTGCAGTGGTACATACCTATAATCCCAAGAGACTGAGGCAGGTGGGTCTCAAGTTCAAGGCCAGCCTGGGCAATTTAGCCTGTTTACAAAAAGTTTAGTGACAGCTGAAGACATTTCAATATATAATATAAAATGTTAAAGTTAGTTTATGTTCCAAGAGTTTAAAATATATTTATATTGTTTGTTTGTTATGTTGGTGTTTTATTTCAGGAGCCGCTTAAAGAAAGACTATGATGATTTTAGAAGACAACCTGATCATGATAAATTTACTAGAGAACTGTGGACTACTGAAGAATGTGAAGGAGATCCTGGAAAAGAATCTCCTAAAGTAGAAATCAGTAAATCTGTAGACTCAACAGAACCTCTAGATATCCTGGAGAAAGATCACTTTGATTCAGGTAGACATTAAAAGTGTTTTATAGTCATCATTAGACAAAGAGAAGTTTTTGTTTATTGTGAAAGCAAAAGATTATCTGGTTAGTGTGTTTTGCTCTGGTTTTGTTTTTTGTTGTTGTTGTTTTTTTACCCTGCTCCTGGGGATTGAAATCATGACTTTGTGCTTGTGAGGCAGGCACGGTGCCACTGAGCTAAATCCCGAGCCCTTGCTCTGTGTTTTTGTTTTGTTTTTTATTTGGTTTGGTTTGGTGGCGCTGGAGATTCAACCCAGGGCCTTCACATTGGACTACATTCCCAGTCATTTATTTTTAAAAATTTGAGTCAGTGCTCTTGCTGTGTTGCTAAATTTTTGCCCACATTGAACTTGAACTTGTGATCTTCCTCCCTTATCCTTCCAGAGTACTTAGATTGCAGGTGTGTTTTACCAGGCCCAGTTTGGTCAGAGCATATTGATTGAGGAAATTGGGTATGTTTTGAAGAAGTATTGTGCCTGTCCTTGTAAGAAATTTCCTAGGAGTTGTCTTTAACATTTCTGGGAGTTTCTGGAGCCAGTGCCTAACTCTAAACTATTAGGCATTTCGTTGTTCAATACAGATCATATTTCCTTAGTCTATAATCCCTTTGAAATTCTCTTATTTTTGTTACTATTTTTGAAGCTCTGTTTCTGAAGTTCAGTATCAAGTATTGCATATCTAGAGAAAGAGAACTAGGCCATTAGATTTCTTTCCACATTCAACTCTAAGCCCTACCTGTTGGCTTGAGTGTCTCTTTAAAAGATGAAAAAGAAAAGTGCATTACATTGGCAGCAAAATTAGGCCATAAATAGTTTTCTCAATTACATGTTGCTCTTGATATGGGTATGATATCAAGATTAAAGGTCATCATTTTTATCTTCATCCATGGTGCTAAAGCTTTTGATTCACCCTACAGTAGATTTCTTAATAAATTGTCAGCTCAAAGATTGACTTTTATTTATTTATTTACTTATTTTGGTACCAAGGATCATACTCGACAGCTTGTGCTTGCAAGGCAGGTGGCGGCACCACTGAGCTAAATCCCAGCCCTCAAAAGATTAACTTTTAGTTAATCTTTTAGTTAATTAAACTTTAGTTAATTAACTTTTAGTTAATTAAAGCCCTCAAAGATTAACTTTTAGTTTGTGTTATTGCTGTTCAGTGGCTGTTTTATGTAAACAAAATTCCTGTTTTTACAATTTTCAGATGATATGAAATTATCAGAAATAGATTTTACTATGGCCAGAAGCAAGTTGTTGAAAAAGGAATTTCTTTCTAAAGATGTGCTGAAAACACTGCCTAAAACACTTAAGCGACAGTCCAAACCAACTATTTATCTGGATGATAGCACAAAAGAGCTTTCTCCAAGAAAAAAAGTAAAGTTAAGCACAAATGAAACAATTGAGAATTTAGAAAGTGATATGCAGAGTGACTGTTTGAATGAATCAAAGCATGCAGAACTACCATTTCCAGATTCATCTGCCTCAGTGGATTCAGTACCAGTGTCTACTCTGCAGAAAGGGACCAAACCTATTCAGGCCTTGCTTGCAAAGAATATTGGGAACAAAGTGACCTTAACAAATCAACTGCCCGCTTCCACGAGTAGAAGTGTTCCTTCTGTGGAAAACCCATTTGTATCTCCTCCAGAAACAAGCCCCATAAAACCAGCATTGACCTGCCTCACCAGTACAAAAGGCCCTTTACAAATGGTATATAAAATGCCCTGTGGCCAGTGGTTGCCAGTAGATCTTCATAATAGCTCTGTAAAGATTCAGATGCAGCCTATGGTGGATTCTAAAACGGGAGAAAAAATCATGCAGCAAGTTCTTATTCTGCCTAAGAATTTTGTGATTCAGCACAAAGAAGGAAAAGTAGTTACAAAAGAAATACCACCACTTCAACAAAAAGGCACAGAACAACACTGTTCATCTTTCCCACAGACAGCAAGTGTGAACCCTTCTTTAGCATCAGTTCTTGTCAACTCAACAGGAACTATTTCCACCCAACTACCTAATACAGTTTTTAACAAGACTGTTACACCTTCATCAAATGTGAGTAGTCCTGGATCACAACCATTGTCACCTGTAACTTCTGTAAGTAATTTAATAACACCACCAGTAAAGACTAGCCACAGTGAGGTAGGGAAAGTCAAGAATGCAGTGTCAGCAGCTACATTCCCCCAGCCCATTGCTTCACCCACCATTTCTTCAACAGTTCAGCCTCTGTTATCAGCAACAACACTAAGTGGATCTACAAATTCTGGAAATTCCCCCAACTGTTTTGCACAACAAACTGCTGATTCTTTTGAAACAAAGCAAGAACTGAAAACTGTGTGTATAAGAGATTCACAATCGATTCTTGTTAGGACAAGAGGTGGAAACACTGGAGTTGTAAAAGTGCAGTCCAATCCAGATCCGCATTCACCCAGCAGTTTGTCCTCAAGTTCAGTTTTCACTTTTGCTCCTCAACTTCAGGCATTTCTGGTGCCAAAATCAACAACTTCATCATCCTCTACTTTTTCACAAGTAGCTGGAATGACTACATCGTCTAGTCTCCCACCTTTTGGCCCAACACCAACTTCTGTTTCCATTCCCTGTGGGTTTAGTCCCTCCATAGGAAAAAATCTTAAACTTACGTTAGGCCAACCCTCCAGCAATGGTAATTTGGGCCACACGATAAATAAAACCTCACACATCACCGCTTCTCCCTTGAAGTCTTCTGCTTCTTCCAGCACTCTACTACCATCAACAACAGATAGTTCAGTAAGTGTAATTAGTGTACCAGGAAATTTTGGACAAACCACGGCAAATGTTATTCATACTCCAACTAAACAGCAACAAATAGATTATATTACAAAAAGTTATCCTGTTATTACACGATCAGAAGCAACAACAGCAACAAATGGAGATATGATCAGTGGGACTCCCATTCAGAAACTTATGCTAGTATCAGCTCCATCTGTTCTTTCTTCTAGCAGTACAACTACAGTTAATGGGACACCTGCACTGACATCTCCAGGTGTATCTACTCAAAAATTGGTTTTTATTAATGCTCCCATTCCCAGTGGCACGTCAACCCCAACTGTTGTTGTAGAATCATTAAAACAGACTCTTCCTCACCCCTCGAATAAAACATATGTTAAGACTCCAGAACAACCCCAAATACTGTTAATTCCATCTACAGTGGAAGCACCAATAAAAATAAATTCTTCACAGACTGTGTCTCAGATAAAAGATGTGAAAATTGGACTAAATATAGGTCAAGCAATTGTAAATCCTTCAGGAAGTGTGCCAACTATACCATCAATTAATATATTGCAGAACATAATCCCAAAAGGAGAAGACAAATGTGGCAAGGCTTGTGTGTTGCCATTGTCAACAAGTGGTAATTCAATTCCAGGAAGCTCAAATTTTGTGAATCAAAACATTACTCCGGTTAATGAATCAGTGGTTTCCACAGCAAGAACAATAAACATGTTTTCAGTAACAAGAGCAAATGTTTCTTTGGGTTCCCTTTCAGTGACCTCATCCTCTGCTTCAGTTGGCACAAGACCTCCCATTTCAGTAAGTGGAAATGATACCTCTTCAAGAATTATGCCTCTTTTGTCAAATAGGCTTTGCACTTCCAGTCTGGGAAATACTGTGGCCATATCAACTGTGAAAACAGGACATCTTGCATCATCTGTTCTGATTTCAACTGCACAACCAACAGTGTCTCCTAAATGTTTGACATCAGCTTTGCAAATCCCTGTTACTGTTGCCTTGCCTGCACCTGTGACTGCTTCCCCTAAAATCAACACAGTTCCACATTCAGCAACAATACCAGAATCCACACTTTCTGTATCTCTTTCTAAAAGACAATCTCGGACTTCTCTCCAGATTCAGTCACCAGGGATTTCAACTACAGTGCCAACAAATATAAACACAAATAAACCTCAAGCTGAATTGTCATCCCTTTCACCAAGTCCAGGTAAAATAATTAATATTTCCAGTTTTACTTCTCTGCCAAACCAGCAAACGTCCCCTGCTTTAGTCAAATCAATCCCCAGTTACAGTTTTGTTCCAGGTGGTTCTGCCATTCACACTGCTACAGCACCATCAAGTATAACTAGTCTAGTAGCAAGCCCATTCAATGAACCTTGTATTCAGCAAAAAATAGTCATCAACACCAGTACACCTTTGGCACCTGGAACTCAGATCTTGATTAATGGAGCCCGATTTATTGTTCCACCACAAGGTCTTGGAGCTGGCAGCCATGTTCTCCTTATATCTAATCCAAAATATGGACCTCCCTTAGTTCTTAACAGTGGCCAAGGCATTCAGACTACAGCAATAGATAACCCTGCCCAGAAGATCGCACTAGCATCAAATAACTCTTTAAGTGGGCAACCTATAAAACAACCCTTAAGAAGTTCTACAAAAATTGTAAACTCTCTTGGGAATACCCACAGTTCTCTACCCACAGTACATACAACACCACAGATTGTAAACACAACTGCTGAAGTTTCTCTTCCACCTCCTATACCAACAGTATCATTGACTTCAGTAATTAAGTCTCCTCCAGCCTCCCTTTTAGGCAAGACATCTTTGGTTTCTGCCATTTCCTCTAGTAATCCTCCACTGCCAAGTAGCACTTCGGTATTTCATTTGGACACATCTGTCAAAAAATTGTTGGTTAGCCCAGAAGGAGCTATTCTGAATACCATAAATACTCCAGCGTCTAAAGTGTCTTCACTCTCTTCATCTCTCTCTCAGATTGTAGTATCTGCCAGTCGAAATCCCACATCTGTCTTCCCTGCTTTTCAGTCACCTGGTTTAGAGAAGCCTGACACAGCTGCATCTTGAATTTAGACTAAATGAGCCAGTTTTTAAAAAATGGGGCATTCTTTTAACTCCCATAAAAATTTTAACTTTATTATACTGTTGAAAACATACTATACTTATTTGTGTATGCGTGTCCATGCACGTGTGAATGCACGTGCATATTTTAATGTATCTTTTCATTAGTTTGCACCAAGACTTTTTCCTTGGGGAGGGAAAAGTGTTCCATCTCACTCATTGGTATGGAGATATTTTCAAATCTTTGTTTAAAGTACATGGTCAAGATTTACCTGTCTGTGTAACATAAGTTAAACAAAGTTGTTTGACTAGTTTAGAGTAAGCTAGCCTTTTGCACACTTACATTGACATGTTTCTTGAATTTGGACTATTGCAGCATATCTATGATAGAGTATTCTGTGTCCTTAGTGAAATCTTATTTTTGTTTCTGTAAAAAGAAATATATATATTTATGCATTGTGAAAATGCAGTCCATGGTGTAAAATTGTACATATTCCTAAATCCCTAACAACCTGTACTAAATATATGTACAAAGAACTATGCTGTCTTATTTATGTTTTGTTTACATGATGTATAGTTTTTTAAGTATTTTAGTAATTTTGGACCAGTGAACTGTTAGCAACAATGCAGAAGAATCTGCATGTAATAAATGAGTTGCTGTATTTCTTTTGAGTACCATTTTAAAGTGTGTTTTGTTTCATTGAAAGAATATATAATATAAATGAAGACCTTTGAAAAGGATGGGAAATTTGTATTAATGGCTAGCATTTGTACAAAACCTCATAGTTTACCAAATTTACTTTTATATATTTTACTTGATTCTCACAATATTTTTGATGGGTTAAGAGATACATCCAGTATTACTCCCAGCTAATGAGTAGTAGAGCCAGTACATGAACCTGATGCTCTAAATTTTTTTTCATAGTTCTGTATTTCTGATTTTTAGAAGTCATTCTAGATTTCATGGTTTCAGACTTAAAAAGAAAAATCCACTACCAAATTCCACATTGACCAAAACACATTTTTTTATACCAGTAGAATCTCTTTATATCCCATAAATACATTTCTCTTAAAGATTGTGTGTGTGTGGTGCCGAGGATCAAATCCAGGGCTTTGCACATGCTAAACAAGCACTCTACCACTGAGCAACATCCATAACCCAAAATGTTGAGTAATTTTAAGGTGGGTATGATGATACCTGCCAGTAATCCCAGCACTCTAGTAGGTTGAGACAGGAGGATCACAAGTTGAAGCCCAACCTAGGCAGTTGAGGAAGACCCTGTCTCAAAATAAGGAGTAAGGGTGTAGCTCAATGCAGAGGCCATGGATTCAATTCCCAATACTGAGAAAAAATTTATATTTCCAGGAAGTTACAACGATAGTATGGAGGGCTTTCATATACTGTTCATCATGCTTTCCCTAGATATATTCATTTTTAAATTGAGGTATAGGTTCACAGCTGATTTTCTAAACTAACATTTGCAAATAGGATTTTATTTTATTTTAGAATAAAAAGTGAATATGAACATCATTGCTTGCTCACCTTATCTTTTTAAAAATTCCCATTACAGAGAAATTACTGAAAATTTTTGTGCCTCAGCTTATTCTCATGGTTTAAATTGATAGTATTTCTAAATATACCTCATTTTAAATAAAAGGTAGCTTCTATATTTATTGGATGTTCCTTATAATTATTTGAGATACTTTGTGTTATACACATTCCGTTTGTGGTCACAGTTAAGCCCCATCACACTGAGCTAGTCTGAAGTTGAAAGTGTTAAGAGTAGAAGCCTGAATATCTCTGACACTACATCAGAGTGACACTGCCTAAGTGGAGAGCCCATGAGCCTATTCTTGAAAAGTTGCTGAAAGTGCTCCAAAAAAATGTAAATTTATGCCCAACATGGTGGTGCATGCCTGAGTTCCCAGTACTTCAGAGGCTGGGGCAGCAGGATCATGAGCTAGCTCAAGGCCAGTCTGTGCTCAATAGCAAGACCTTGTCTTAAAAAAAAACAGCAGAAAAATATGTTCTAAGTACCTTCCAATCACATGTATATTCTACTTAGTCACTTTCTGCCTTATGAGTTGATTAAATAACCTGGATTTCTGGGGATATTGGTGATATGGTACAGTGCATTGTCATGAGAAGTACTTTAAAAATGAGTATATTTGCACACTTACGTTTTAAAACAAATTACTTGAAACTCAAAAGAATTCTGCAAGCCACTTTAGAAACTAGTTATTACCTGTGGCCTAACTTTAATCCCAGCAAAGGACCTAAGCCAATTAACCACTAAATCTTTTAAAACTACTAGATCCAAAATCCTAATAAACCTTCAGAGTTCTCTATGAATTACTGAACCTTTTATCTCCTACTTAAAAAGCTCTTCTGGCTGTTCCTACCTGCCTCCATTTTAATCTGCTCTCCTTGTTCGTTGCACTCAAGTTAACTTTTAATTTGTAGAAAATCTGAGACACACCAGGGACTTCCCATATGTCCTCTTTGACCTAATGCTTCATTACAGGTTCTCATTGCATTTCATATCACTCCCTCTGCCATATTCCAGCCAGCATCACGATATTGTAGTTACTCAGATTGAGGAGGATATAGCACTCTTCACAATTATAATTATTTATTTACAGTTATTTAGTGCGGGTTATCCTTTTAAAAAAGGACCTTGTCAATCATCATCACCCTGGTAAGTCGTACACAGTATTCAATATATATTTATTGAATAAGTGATTGAAAAATCTAAAAAGCTTATATTAGTAAGCTCTAGTTTTACTTTTTAAAACTAATACTTTTGAGGGTTTTTTACTAGAAATTTAAATTAATGGGTTTATATATTCAAAATTCCAAAATTTTTCCTTTGCTTCCACTTTTGTGGGTGTAGATTTCTGTGGTCTTAAAGAATGTAAAGTTAGATTCCTCAGTTCTTTGTGCCCAGTATTGCCGTAAAGTATTCTTTTAAAATCTATAAAGCTGTATATATACAGGATGAAAAGTTACCACAGTGCTACTTGAAAAGATTCATGGTACTAAAGAGGTTACATTCCTGCATGTAGGTAGGCCATGTGGATGTCTGTATTTGATATTTTAAATAGTTAAAAGATGGCAAATGTAGCTCTTCCCCTTCAATTCCTGTTTTGTTTTTTTTTTTTACTTTACCTTTGTGATTAGCTATGTATACATTACTGAGTGGTTCTTTAGATCTCTACTTCAATTTTAAGCCTCCAAGTTTATTGGGGCACTTAGTAATTGACAGTTAATTTTCAATTAGGTTTTATTAATAGTGTGCCACTCATAATATTTAGATGAACCTGATTCTGAGGATCTATGGAAATGACCTAAAAGCTGTAAGAATTTTTTTTGTTTTGTTTTGTTTTGTGTTTGAGACAGGGTCTCACTATGTAGAGACTGACCTGGAACTCACTATGTAGCTCAGGCTGGTCTCGAACTCACAGCGATCCTCCTGCCTCAGCCTCCCAAGTGCTGGGATTACAGGCATGCACCACCACACCCAGCAAAGCTGTAAGAATTTTAAATAAAACATAAATTTTTTCAAAACTGTCAGGAATTATAATTCTAACTTTATTTATGTATTTATTGGTACTGGAGATCGAACTAGGGACCTTGGGCTTGGGAGGCAGGCGGCAGCACCACTGAGCTAAATCCCAGCCCTATAATTCTAACTTTAATTTGAGGAAATGTAGTGTCAATTAAAAAAAAGTTTAATCAAAAAAGATTACATTATTTTTAAGGAAAAAAATAACAAACCCAGATGCTGCTGCTGCTATTAACCTGAATCAAACCCACAGTGACCCAGATGCCTGAGCTCTGACCACTACCTTTCCCGCCTGGGAACTTGATGATCAGGGTCTGCAGCTGCTCTTGGGCCTCCCCAACGCTGGATAATATGGAACAGCAAGGTTCCACTTGGGCAAACCTGACATTCAAACTCTGCTTCAGCCAGTTTGTTAACATTTTGTTGTCTTAGCTCAGTGAACTTTCTCTTAGCCAAGGTACTAACCAACTTTCTGGAGCTTTTTTTTTTTTTTCTTGTGGAATATGATCCAGCTCTTGCCTTTGTTTCCACACATAATATCAGTGTATTTATGAGGTGCAGTGTAATATTTTGAATCATGAATATCCTGAGTAATGATCAACTGTCATTAGCATAGTCACACAGCTTCACCATTTTTATGATGAGTATACTCAAACTGCCTTTTTGCTATTTTGAAATATAAGTAAGGTGCATTGTGAGTTGTCATCAGAAGTAGGGATGCCTTTGTGAGGGGAGCAGGTAACACCCGCCCCCCATAGAGAGTGAACCCTGGACTTTAACACAGCTGTATCCCAAGTCCTTTTTTTATTTTTTGTTTTGAGACAGGGTCTTACTAAATTGCTCCGGGTAGGCTCAAACTTGCTATCTTCCTGCCACAGCCTCCCAAGTGCTGAGATTACACGTGTGCACTACCACACATCCTCTTTCTGAATCTCAAATCTCATTCCTACTCACTCTCCTAGTTTCTCCCTGCCAGACTCGGACTGAGCCACTGTTTCGTGGGACACTATATGCAGAACTCTATGAGGAGAGCCCTTGCAAGTGGAGAGAACCGACAGCAAATGACAGTCTGGAAGCCTGGGAGAGGCCTAGAGCTCAACCCACAGGAGTCTCTGGCAGAGGTGGAGGACCGAGTCCCGGAAGATGGCTTGTGATGAGGTTAAGGGTGCCAAATGCCTGATGAACTTTTCTTCATTTAGAATTCACTTTTTGAAAAGAGATCAGAGGGAAGGGAGTCATTTAAATGGTAACAAATGTGCTCGCTTCGGCAGCACATATACTAAAATTGGAACGATACAGAGAAGATTAGCATGGCCCCTGTGCAAGGATGACACACAAATTCGTGAAGCATTCCATATTTTTAAGGGCCGGGGATTTAGCTCAGTGGTTCGGTGGCCTGCCTTGCAAGTGCAAGGACCGGAGTTCAATCCCCGGTATTAAAAAAAAAAAAAAAAAAAAATGGTAACAAATGACAGAATTAGGAAAGTTGGAAAGATTTTAACATTTTGTTGAATGTCACTTTTTTATTCTGTGTTTTCCCCCTTTAGTCTAATCTTGCCTTTGGGGGAAAATATTAATGTTATGTTTGTGTTTGTTCTGACACAAGATGCTATTAGGTGTTTCAGTGACTCAGCATTAAATAACAATTACATAGTGAGAAAGACATTTCTTTAAAATTTGCAAACCTTCGGACAGCTTTTACATTTTCTTTTATTCTTGTTAATCTCCCTCTTGAAGAAAGCAGGTCTTGGGTTCACAACAATCTACCACCATTATCTATCTAAGCTTTAAAAATAATGTTTTCATTAGTTTCACTTTTTAAGTTACTTGTATTTATGGAAAATGATGCTGATTTTCCATTTAGGGTGGTGTTGCAGACTTTGAAGTCAGGCATAATGGTGTGCACCTGTAATCTCAACACTTGGTGGCTGAGGCAGGAGGATTGCAGGTTTGAGCTCCGCCTGAGCAACTTAGTGATTTAGTGAGGCTCTGTCTCAAAATTAAAAATGAAAAGGGCTGAAGATGTAACTCAGTGTGAAGGTCTTGAGTTTAAACCTAAGTACCGCACACAACATTTAAAGACCAAGAAAGTTTATTGAGCTGACTGAAAAAAAAATTAAATTGTGTAAGTGATAAGTGGAGATATGGCCAAAAAAATTAATGAAAATGATACCACTGCAGAGTTTCTGATTCTTTATGGTTTTTTTTCCCCTGTGTATGTTCTTGTGAGGATTTGGAAACCAAAAAGAATTAAACTGCTGCTATGGGGACGTTTAAGACAATACACGGAACATAGGCCAAGCTGTATTCTCATTTACTTATTTAAATCGTAATACCACTTTCTGTTAACACAAAACTCTTATTATTAATTATGATAACATTGAACCTTGAAGGTAGAATATAATGAGAACTGCATTATATGTATTACTTGAGATGTAGGATCTTTACAGCATACTACAATGTCATAGAATTTTAAAACTCAAACATGACTGACATTGTTCAGATCAGCTCAGTCTTAAACATGTAACAGTATCCTTTGTGAGAACTCTGTATCACCTGCCACGATTCTGTGTGCAGTTCATGTTTGTCCAGACATCACTTCTACACTTGATCTTAGCCAAAAGGCCGAGAAGCATTAAGACATCACTTCTTTTGAAAAATCTGAATAGTTTGTAAATAAGCAAAATTTCAATTAAAAAAGAAATCAGATGGTCCCAAAACACCTATTTGAATTCTACTCACCCCTCAGAGAATAAGAAATTTAATAACATTACTACTGGCACAGAGAGCAGGTATTGCAAAGTTTATTGATGAATATTCTTCATTTTAATATTTCTGATCCTTGGTACTGCTAATTGCTCTATTTAGAATTTAACACTGGCTTGTTAGAGATATACATTGTTGTTACAGCATCCTGAAGCAGAACATCAAATGTCTATACAAAATTAAGACTAAAGTATGAGGGAAATCATTTCAGCATTTTCCAGGCAGCTTGCTGGCTCTCAAGGTGAGTAAGGCGGTGGTGACTGTTCTCTGGAGAATTTCTCATAAGCAGGTGGAGCATTAGGAACCTGTGATAATAAAAAAGGAGAACATGGTTTGGAAATGGCGTATATGTTTCTGGGAAGGGAGTAAGTCAAAACAATAGCATGCTTATACATTTGCTATGGACTGAAACTTTTAAGTGTTCACTTCTAATTTATGACCTAAATGCATATGTAGAAATATTGTTGGAGGAAAGAGCAGAGAAAAAATAGGGCTCAGGGATTTCCCACAATCTGAAAGTGTAGTGTGGATTATTAGTGTCAGCAGAAGTCCCAAATCCTGAAAAATTATTGGACCCTATTCACATATTGTCTTTACCACATAGAAATTGTACTCTGTCTAAAGGCACACTGATACTACCAATTCAGCACAAATGTGTCAGTCCTTCACTTAAGGTTCATAACAATCCCAGATAATGTCACAGAGTGGGAAATTAAAGCACAGAGAAGTCATTTGCTCAAGGTCACACAACTAGTAAGGCATTGAGCTAAGAATCAGTGCTCTCAACCATTATGCAAGACTGCCTCTGTACCAGTGCTGTCCAGTCAAAACACAGTTCAAGCCGTATATGTAATTGTAATTTCTAATAGCAACATTTCTTAAAAGGAGATAAAATAGATAAAATGTTTTAGTTAACCCATTTATTAAAACCATTTCAATTACAAATCATTAAATGCAAATCATTAATGATTGTATTTTCATATACTCTGATGTATTACATCAGACAACAATATTTCTGCATATGCATTTGGGTCATAAATATAATCTCAATTCAAACTAGTATATTTCAAGCAACACATGGCATAGCTAGCCCATTGGATAGCACAGCTTTATTTATTTAAGATTGATACTTTTCCCTTTGTATATATTTACATTGATGAAAAAGGAAAATGTAATTAAAAATATACCGGGCGTGGTGGTGCACGCCTGTAATCCCAGCACTCAGGAAGCTGAGGCAGGAGGATCACTATGAGTTCGAGACCAGCCTGAGCTACATAGTGAGTTCCAGGTCAGTCTCAACTATGTAGTGAGACCCTGTCTCAAAAAAAAAAAACAAACAACAAAAACCAAAAAACAAACAAAAAAATATACAATGAAAGGCTATTACATCAAAAACCAAGTTCTTTGGCTCTTACTCAGTTTTCATTATTGACTCTGGAAAAATCAGTATGAGAAGAATACAATTTAAGGAAATCTCTGTTTCCTTTGGCTCTTATTTTATTATTTTGTGATAAAATATGCTTTATAAAATTTACCATTTGGACAATTTTAGATGTATAATTTAATGACATTAAGCACATTGACAGTATCCTTGCTTTTCAAGGGAAATCGTGTTATTTACTTGAACTAAAAGCAGCCATATATGAAAATATTCAGACGCATCATCTCAACCTACCAGGGGTTCACAATTTTTCTTTTGTAAGGTCAGTTTGGTGTCCACATAACCAAGCTCTTCATGTGAGCATCTTCCCCGTAATGTACTTTGAACACCAGCATGAAGGCTTTCGTCCTGAAATACAGATTTATTAAAGTGAATGGGTAAAAACGCATAGCTGAGTTCATTAAAGAAAAGAGGAGGCTAAAGTTTTAAGAATAGGTTTTAATCTAGGTTCTGCCACTTACTTGCTGTGTCCTCAGACTAGTTAGTTTACCTCTCCTAATTCTACTTCTTGCATTTGTACTAGGAAGGTAACTGCCTCTCAAAGTCGTGGGAATTAACTAAAGGTGAGGCACTAGTACAGTGCCTGATACCCCATTCATAGTAAATACTTGTGAAGGGAAGGAGAACAGTGTATAAAAAAGTGAACATTTTTGTGAAATTATCCTTAAAAGTGAAGGAGAAGGGCTGGGGATGTAGCTCAGTGGTAAAGTGTGAGGCTAGCATGTATGAGGCCCTGGGTTTGACTCTCCAGCACAAAAAAGGAAAAGAGAGAAAGACTGTCTTTGACAAGCAAGTACTGAGAAAATTTGTTGCCATAGGCTTACCTTGCAAAAATTTTCAGAGTTCTTTAGAAAGAAGAAAAACATAGGTCAGAAACTCAGATGTGTATAAAGAAGACAGATGAAGGATGAATATGAAGGTAAAGAAAACATTTTTATTTTTCTTATTTTAATTAATACATATATAGTTTGTTCATGTATGTTTATGTACAAATGAATGACAGCAATGATCCAAGGGATAAAAAGGTAATTAGGATTATTTTGTTATCACAAATACTCATACTACCTGTGAAGTGGGGTTAGATTAATTGTAAATACCTATTTCAAATTCTAGGGAAAATACTTTTAAAAACTTAATGAAAAAAATATAAAAAAGGAGAGAAATTAAATAATATAAAATGCTCCATTAAAAGCACATAAGGAGGCCATGGATTTAGCTCAGTGGTTCTGCTGCCTGCCGTGCAAGCTCAGCATCCTGAGTTCAATCCCTGGCACCAAAAAAAAAAAAAAAAAAAAAGGCACATAAAGTAGGGAGGGTCAGTGGCGCCGCACCTGCCAAATGCAAGGTCCTGAGTTTGATCCCTGGTACTGGGGGGAAAAAGCACATAAGGTAGAAAAACTGTAGAAGTAAAAAATAGGAACAAAGAAGAAGGGCAAAAACTATAAAACAGTAACAATTATGGTACATAAGAATACCACTATGTCAATAACCATTTTCAAAGTAAAATGCTTTACACCGATTAAGAGACAGGGATTATCATAATGGATCAAAAACAAGTTCCAACCATGTGTTATGTACAAGAACTGACTTTATTTATTTACTTTGTATTTTTTAGTGGGGGCGGTTGAGATAGGTTCTTACTATGTAGTTGAGACTGACCTGGAACTCACTATGTAGACCAGGCTGGTCTTGAACTCACAATGATCCTCCTACCTCAGCTTCCCGAGTGCTGGGATTATAGGCATGTACCACCATGCCTGGCAAGAACTGACTTTAAAAGACACATGAGAAGTAAATAGATTGAGAAAGATATACCACATTAGCACTAATCAAAAAAAGTGACAGTTCCTGTGTTAATTTCAGAAAGTGCAGGCTACAGAGTACTACTAGGGAAAAATAATTAATAATGATTAAGTAATGATAAAGGGGTTCATTCTCCAAGAAGACATCACAGTACTTGACATGCATGCACCTAAAAACAGCAACAAACATATGAGACAATAACTGTTGTCTAGAACTAGAACTTCAAGAACATACCATTGACATCCACTGTGTAGCTGGAGTAATATTTGGAGATTTCAGCATGCTTCTACCAGAAGTGGACAGGTCCAGCAGACAAAAACTCAGTAAGGACATAATTGAACCCACCAAAATCATCAACTACATATAATAGACAACTTGTTATCCAGTAATATCAGAATCCATATTCCTTGTCCCAGTTCCACCCATAATAGATGATTAATGAGCAGTAAAGAGTAGTGGTTAGGCACATAGGTTTTGGAGAAGAGATTGCTTCTCTGAAAAATTTTGCTCTGTCACTTACTTAGAATAAGTTATTTAACTTTTGTTTCTCTCATCTTTCTCATATGCAGAATAAGCATAAAAATATTTATGTGATGGACATTGTGACAATAAATCAAGTTAAAAATTCTAAAAAGAAGATAGAAGCAGAGGGAATATTTTCAAATTCATTTTATGAGGGTGGATTTGCCCAAGATGAAAACGAGAAAAAGACATTATAAGAGAAGAACACAGATGCAAAAATCCTCAAAACATATCAAATTCAACAGTGTATAAAAGAATTATACACCACAAGCAAGTGGGATTTATTTAAGGTGTGCAAAGTTGGTTCAACATTGAAAAATCAATGAAGGTAAGCCATAACATCAACAAACTAAAGAAAAATCACATGATCATATCTACAGATGTAGAAAAAGCACTTGGCATCCATTCATGATTTAAAATTCTTGGTAAACTAGGAACAGAGGGAAACTTCCCTGACTTTGTAAATAGTATCTACAAATGTCTATAGCTAACATCATTGATGAGAAAAATGAAACTCCAACTAATATCAAGAACTAGTCGCTGGTAGGCCTGCCCCTTTGGCTCAGCATGCCAGACAAAATAGGCAGCAGCTTGCGACACTCTGGTAGGCCCGCCCTTCAAACAGGCACAACAGAGGCGCCCACTCGGAGGGCACCAAATGGGGAGTTCATGCCCCCCCCTCGTGAACAAGAGAAAGAAGGCCTCTCTGAGGCTTCTAGATGAAAATTGAAGCCCACTGGAAAAGTGAAGAAAATGTGATAAAGACACACCCCAACACCATAGTTGGTAAGTCAGAGGGGTCCAGCACCTTCACCTGAACCTGGTCTAACTTCAGGGGAAAGACAGCTGGAACCTGCAGTAAAACCTTGCAGAGTTCAACCTAGAAGCAGGACAGAGATCTTGACTTGGGCCTTGCAGCCAAAAATCCTTCTGAACCTCATGGAACAGCAGCTGATGGCTTGCTGAGACTGACTTAGACCTGCACACTCCTGCCCACCCTGTCTGTTATGTCAACAGATGCATACCCTGAAGGAGGCCCTCTACTTCTATTTGTATTTTTCATTTTCAAAGTAATATTTTTCTCTTATCTTTAATCATTTAAAAATTTTTAATCTTTATTTTCTCAAATCTTCCCTTTTTACCTTCTTTTCTCTTTCTCTCTCACTGTCTCCCACCTTTATCTTCATTACTCTCCTTCCTTTTTGTTCCTGTTCCTATTCTAATTAGAATTAATTTTCTTTCTTTTCCTTTTCTTCTCTTTTTACAGATAAGTGAGGCATATAAGGACTCCAACTAGCCAAGATCAAAAAAAATCTACACCTAGACATATAATAATCAAGATCCCAGAAACCAAAAAACAAAATACTACAAGCAGTTAAACAAAAGAAACAAATCACATGCAAAGGAAAGCCCATTAGAATCACAGCAGACTTTTCAACACAAACCCTTAAGGAGAGCCTGGAGTGAGGTATTTCAAGTTCTAAAAGAAAACGACTTCCAACCTAGATTAATGTATCCTGCAAAACTATCTTTCAAAATTGATGGGGAAATAAGATACTTCCATGACAAAGAACACCTGAGAAATTTCATGAACACCAAACTGGCACTCTAAACAATATCCTGGAAAAAGAAAATGAAGGCCACAATTCCATAAGGGCCAATAGAGCAAAGATACCAGGCAAGGCAAGAAATTAAAGGGAGAGAGGGAAAAATAAAAAATAAAAGAACCAATAACAGGAAAATAACATGACAATGAAAAGTCTACATAACAGTTATAACCATTAATGTTAAAGGCCTCCATTCACCAATCAAGAGAAACAGGCTGAGAGAATGGATTAAGAAGCAAAATCCAACAATATGCTGTATAAAAGAAACCTCCTTAATCCACAAATTCATAGACTGAGAGTGAAAGGATGGAAAGCAGTTCTCCATGCAACAGGAGCCCCTGGAAAAAAGTGGGTGTAGCTATCTTATTTGCAGACAGAATAGATTTCAAACCAAAATTAATTAAGAGACAAGGCCACTACATCCGTGTAAAGGGAACAACATAAGAAGAAGAAATGACAATCATAAAATATATAAATCCACAAATTCATAGACTGAGAGTGAAAGGATGGAAAGCAGTTCTCCATGCAACAGGAGCCCCTGGAAAAAAGTGGGTGTAGCTATCTTATTTGCAGACAGAATAGATTTCAAACCAAAATTAATTAAGAGACAAGGCCACTACATCCGTGTAAAGGGAACAACATAAGAAGAAGAAATGACAATCATAAAATATATATATATATATAAAGGAAATAAGCACTAATACAATTGTAGTGAGGGACTTAAATACTCCACTGACACAAATAGATCATCTAGACAAAAATCAACAATGAAATAACAGAACTGAACCAAGTCTTAGAACAAATGGACTTAGTAGATATCTACAGAGTATTCCACCCCACAAAATCAGAATATACATTCTTTTCAGCTGCACATGGGTCATTCTCCAAAATAGACCACATGCTAGCTCATAGAACATGCTTAAGTAAATGCAAATGAATTGAAGTTATTGCCTGTATATTATCAGATCATATTGCAATTGATCTGGAGATCAATAGCCTAAGAAACCATAAGAACTTCACAAACACATGGAAATTAAATAACACCCTGCTGAACAACCACTGGGTCACGGGAAATTACAGAAGAAATTAGACAGTTTCTACAATTAAATGATAATGTCAATATCACATACAGGAATCTATGGGATGCAATGAACGCAGTTCTATGAGGAAAATTCATAGCAGTAAATGCCCACACTAGGAAAACAGAGCGAGCTCAAATAACCTAATGCTTAACCTTAAGCTCCTAGAGAAGGAAGAGCAAGACAAACTGAAAGCTTGTACAAGGGAGGAAATTATAAAGATCAGAGAAGAGGTTAATGCAGTGGAGACTAAAAGAATGATACAGAAAATCAGTGAATTGAAGAGTTGGTTTTTTGAAAGAATAAAATTGATAGACCCTTAGCCAACCTTATCAAG